TCATAAGTCTTTCCGTATATTTTGAAAGCATCTCAAATCAAATGGAGATGGATGCGCCAGTCGAATTTAATGCCTAAGGTGTGCAACCTGTTAATAATGGCGTGCTATTTATCTCATCGAGTATATATACATCACTTGGGTCAAACACAATAATACTTTATACTGATTCCTCTTATGAGTATTTTCATTCACATTGTCATTCATCAATAAGTACAGTCATTTAAGCGCAACAAAAGTGTTTCGATAATGTTTCGTGCTTTTCGGGGTATTTACTTTAAAGAGTACCAAACATAATGTAATGTTTAGGCCAGACCTTGAAAAAGAATTTTTTATAAATTGATGTGAGTTTGTTGTTTGATTTCCACCAAACATGTCAGAATTTACTAACATTTTTTGAGAGAAAATTATGTTTAGTTTTCTATCTTTTTTTTTTAAAACTATTTCAATATTTTTTAATTTTGAAATAGTCTTTAATATTAAAATACTATTTAATATTAAAATTGTTTTTAATATTGAAATACTATTTAATATTGAAATTGTTTTTAATATTGCAATACTATTTAATATTGAAATAGTTTTAAATATTGAAACAGTCTTTAAAATAGAAACTGTATTTAATATTAAAATATAGTTTTGACCACTGCAACTTAGTTTTGAATACTCAACCAATTTTTAATATTAAAATATAGTCCTTAACATTGAAATAGTTTTGAATATTGAAACAGTCTTTAATATTGACATACTATTTCTAATATTGACATACTATTTAAAATTAAAATTAAAATAGTTTTGACTACTGCAATAGCTTTAAATATTCAACCAATTTTTAATATTAAAATATAGTTTAGAACATTCAAATACTTTTGAATATTAAAAAATATTCTTTAATATCGAAATACAATTAATAGCTCTGAACATTTAAACTTATAGTCTTTAATATCGGAATAGTATTTAATATTAAAATAGTCCTCAATATTGAAATAGTTTTTTTAATATTTATAATACAATTCTCTATTAGAGATTAGATTATAATCTTTCTTGTTTTTTTCGTGGAGAGTATTTCATGCGTTAATTTCGAGTATTCAATATATAATCGACCGAGAAAAGTGGTCACCATTTGAATATTGTATACTATCATGACATTCAACAGAAATTATAAGACCATTAAAGAAAATTGTAGTCATTATATCAGAGGTCATTAGTCGAATGTATGTGTATAAAAATCGTAATAATATACAGTAAGGGTCACGTTAATGATGGTTGTAATTGATATACTTTGGATTGTATCTGATTCAATATTCTCGCACCCTCAATACATGAAACTATAATATTTATCATTATTTTCAATTCATTATTAGTCAATTTTTTATCCCCCGCACGCACCTGTGCTTTACTCCTATCAGTTATCTATAATAAATTTATATCCTAACTGCAGGTTTTTGGGGATGTGGATTTTTTTTCACCGTTTGTTAAAAATTTGGGTATTCTTTTTGGAAATTTATGAGCATCATTCATTTATATCAAATGAATATATGAAACCAAACACAATTTTTTTTTTTGAAAGTATGAAATTGATACTACAAACTATAGATGAAATTGATGCTAAAAATTTGGATCGCATACTGTAAGAAGAAGAATCTTAAAAGTGACTACAAAGTTACTAACAGGGTGGTCATAAGTTTCAGTTTCACAATTTCCCTGACATTTCCCTAAAAATTTACTGACATTAAAATTATTTTCCCTGACAAAATTCTTTTTACAGGAAAATATGAATGTTTAAGGAAAATGAGTAAAAATGGTGAATTTTAATAATTTCTAAAAATTACAATTATAAACCTTCCTGAATTCAATTATTTTCTACAAGTTTTCAACTAAACTTCATCTCTGAATTAATTAATTTAAATTTTTCAAAAGTTGTTCTAGAATTCAATTATTTTAATACAAAAACTTAATTTTTTATAATAATTGTAACTCTCCATTGTTTTTTCTTAAGTTATTTTTAAATAATTTTTAAAAGATAATTATAGTTTTTCAATTTTAAAAAATTTCCAAACAATTAAAATTTGGTAAAATATTTTAAAAATAATTGAATTTTTGAAAAATGTAAATAAAAAAGATCAAATTTTTCAAGAATTTTAATTATAAACAGGACAATGATTTTTCAAAAATTTTAATAAGTCCAAAAAGTAATTTTTAAAAAATTTTTATTTACATTTTTCGAAGATAATTGAATCTTAAGAAATTATTATTATTATTAAACAATTCTAATAATTAGTTTTTAAAAATATTTCAATGGAATATTAGAATTTTTCGAAAATAATTAAATTTATTAAAAACGAAGTTGAAGTCCACAATGTTGATCAACGAAATAAATTTATTTAATGCAATCAAGTATTATTCTTAATTTAATATTTAATTGTAAAATAATTAATATCAAAACATAAACATCAATCTTTTTTTTCTAAATATTTTTGTGTCAATATTGCTGCGTAATTTTTAATTAATTTACTAAGACCCAGTTTCACCAACTTCTGATTAAAAGTTAATCAATGATTAAAGAAAGTTTAAAGGCTTCTGATTGGTTAATTGAGGATTTAATCATTGATTAACTTTTAATCGGTGTTGGTGAAATCGGCCCTTAGTGAACAATTTTTTTTCGTTGATCAATGTTGTGGACTTCAACTTGGTTATTAAAAGAATTTTTGTATAATTTAAAAAAACTAATTAATTCTTTGATAAATTTTAATTAAAAATTTTGAACATGATTGTTTTTCTCCAAAATGTTAAAAATAATTCTAAAATGTTATTTTTTTTTTGTATATTTGAATTTTTGGAAATTTGTATAATTGAAAATAATAAAAATATTGAATTTTAAAACATTAGAAGATAATTTTCATTAATTTTCGTTTTTAAATTCACCTTTAAAGATTTTTCATCAAAATTTTTGATATTTCAATTATTATTTTGACAGATCGAAAAAATGCAGATATTTTTTTATGATTTAAATAATAAAACAATATTTGAAATTAGAAAATATAAAAGAATTATGATAAACAAATGAATTTCGTTTATTATATGCTTTTTTCTATAACAAATTACTCAAATAAATGTTCTGTTACATTTATATTTACGAATTTCTTTAGTTGTAAAATTATTCGAAAACATCAATAACTTTTTTTTTAAATAAATATTTAATCAATATTATTTTTTCATAGGAATTAGGAATTTCAAAAATTTTAAATTCAAATCTTTTTAAATTCTATAACTTATAAGAATATTTTTATAAAACATGAAAATAGCATGATAATGATAACATGATCGATATCTTTATGTTTTATAATAATTAAAGATGACCGAGTGATAAAATCATTGTTTTATATTATAAGAATATTATTACAGTAATTTTTTCAAAATTATTTTCATCATTTCAAATCAATTATTATTTTTTACAATTTTTAATTATTCTTTAAGAAAATAATTGAATTTTTTAAAAAAAATTTTATTAATTATAAAAATAATTGAATTTTGGGAAGGAATTTATAAAAAATTTGTAAATAATTGAATTCTTGAGAAATTTTCATTATTTATGAAATTAAATGTTTGCGTTCTATTTTTGGGAATTTGAAACTGATTTGAAAATATAGTTGAACTTTGGGGAAGAATTTTGTTATTTATAAAGAAAATTTGGGATTTTGACGAGAATTTTTTTAAATTTAAAAGATAATTGAATTTAATCAGAAGAATTTTATCACTCTTGAAAATAATTGAATTTCTGCAATTATTTGGAATTTTTACAAAATTGGATTTTTTTTTTAGTGTTTTCAACAAACATTTGAATTAAAAATTTTTAAATTCTATTATTTTTAAAATTGCTAATTTCATATCCAAAAAAAAGTTAGCCCCGGCGCTTTAGCACGCGAATTGTTGCTAGTTTCTATTATAAATACATTTGAAAAATTTAATTATGTTAAATAATAATTGTAAAACAATTTTTGAAAGATTTGTTTTTATTAATTTTTCGCAATCTAAAAATCAAAATTAAGTTGCATTCTTTTTTACTAAAAAATTGTTGTATTTTGTTGCAATGTTTGGAAGAAAAGTCGTAAAAGTCGAAATTTTTGAAAATAAGTCGAAAAAAGTCTCAATTTTCTTAATTTCTCTGATAAAAATTTTTTTTTCCTGACAATTCCCTGACTTTACTGACTTGTGGCCACCCTGACTAAAAACATTTGTTGTTTTAAGCAGATGTTTAAAATCTTTAAGTAACTTAAGATTAAGATATATGTTTTAAGTATAACTTTGTAGTCATTTTTAAAATTACTTAATTTTTGCAATCCAACTTTTGATTCGATTCACTTTTTTTGGTATCAATCCGTTGCAATTGGATATACCTTTAAGTTAACAGTGAAGGAAAAAAGAAAAAAGGTTGTTGTTCATATACACTAAAAAGAAGGCTTCTTATTTTAATATTTATTGTAAGTCACTTCTAGGTTGTTTTGAAAAAGTTATCAGAAACATCTTATAACGAATTGACTTTTAAGATGTAGGTTCAAAAATGAGATGTTTTCAAGACTACAATATATTTTAAGATACTTCTTTTTGAAGTGTTGTTTTAAGATATTTCTATACTATTCTAGTCAATTCTAAGTTGTTTCAAAAAAATTATCAAAGGCATCTTATTGCATTGATCTTTAAGATAAAGGATCAAAAAATAAGATGTTTTGAATATCTGAAAAGTTGATATACAATGAATTTTAAGATGCTTCTTTTTGCATCAGTGTAGTATGTTCCGAATTGTTTGCAGTCGGATTATGGTTTTGAGAGTGTCGGCAAATTTTTGGGTCTAAGATGAAAACATTACTGTGTTTTTTCTATAACATTCCGCAGAGTGATTCCGTAAGATTGCAAGACTATAATGTTCAAAACGAATATATAGATTTAGAAAAGGAATTTTGATGTGATGCTAGATGGTCCAAGAAATATATATGTAAGAAACTTACCGACTCCAGCAACGTGAATCTTCTTCATCCAGGGATAGACAACACGACTCCCTTCTTCCTCGTCATCATCATCATCCATCATTCCCGGCGAACCATCCATAATTTGATCATCATCAACATCCTCCTGATCAGAACCCTCATCCGTATGATGTTGATTCTGATGCTGCTGACTTCCCTGCATATGTTGATGCTGACTCGATTGTTGCTGCTGCGGTAGGTCTGGGGAATTATCTCTATGCAATGATCCAGAACCCGCCGGACTGCATACATTAACATCATGCTGTTGCGCCGTCTGTTGAAGTTGAATACTTTCCGATTGTCTAACATGATTCGATATAATGGACGGAGATAAAGGCGTACTGCCCAAAACTGTCGATGCGGACACTGGCGTTTGTTGTTGTTGTTGTTGATTGTGCATCGAAGGCGGACACGTAAGGGGCGGTTGTTGTGCCTCCGGAGGCATGGCGAGCGCTCCGACGGCATGATGATGAGGATGCAAACTCGGATGATGAACCGCGTGCACTTGATGATGTGGATGATGGGGATAGTAACCACCATAACCAGCGTAACCACCATTCAATTGCACTGCCGAAGACGCACCATAGGGCGTCGACGCCGCCTGATGATGATGCTGATGATAACCATATTGCAGTTGATGGGACTGAGGATGATTCAAGTGATGACCACCGCCAAAGAAATCGGCGCCCGCCGAAGGAATATAATTATTCTGACTGTATTCCTCACTAGGTGGGAATTTTGGATCGACAACCGAAGCTGGTCCCAAATGATGGGCCACTGGTTGTTGATGCTGCTGATGATAACCACCCGCCGGATTCATTAGAAACGAACTCATTTTTTCACTTATTCTTGAATTCACTTTTAGCTTATTTTTTATTTTTTTTAAATAAAATTTCGCTCCTGAAAAATCTATACACTTTCACAAAATGCACAGCACAACACTGCACCAGGGTCCATCGTTTCTCACACCCTTTTCTTTTTTTGAAGGATTTTTTTTTATAGCTAGAATGTCGCGGTATTTCGAACCAACTGATCCTCCTTTCTTTTCAGTCTTTTTTCTCTAACCTTCTCTTTCTCGCACACACTTTTGCAATCACCCTTCAACGAAGAGAACCGGTTCCCGCCCACCAGTGCCCAATTAGCATACCACGTGACCGCGGAGAACCAATCAGAGTCGCCCCCCGTCCGCGACCATGATGGATTGTCGGCACGCATGCAACATGTGAGTGGCGCCACAAGATCACTGTGGCAGGTGCACTAACTTCTTTTTAACTTCTTCTTTTAATCAAATTTCTCGATTTCACCTGCTTCAATTAATTTTTTTTCCCTCTTCTGAATAATCTGCTATCACTGGTATAACACACTTAAAATAACCAATTTTTCGTCAATTTTGACGAAATCCACTAAGAAAACAAGGGTCAGGAAGTTTTGAATATTTTTGTACACTTTTCTTCACCTTTTTTTTCGGCAATGGAATAGGGGGAAAGAAGTGAAGGAGCGCGAAAAGAGTTGAATGTGAGCTACAAGAGTGAGCTCGCCGTGCCTCGGCACAAACTCGTCTGGCAACTATGTTTGGTTCACGCTCCCTCCAGCTTGCCACCTCGCGATGGCTTGAACCGCCACCAGTAGACTTTCCCCCCCACCTAGACTGCCACTCATCCCCTCCCAAAGGGGAACACGAGGCCAACCCCTGCCGCGCAAAACCCTAGATCCTGTACCCTTATGGGTATTAGCTCCTGCATGCCTATGGGGGAGTCACTCCTACAGCTTTCCTTAACCCGCCTCCCAATGCTCGAAATCCACCTTGGATCATGCCGGTGCTTCAGAATGTAAGTGGAAAAAACAAAAGCCAAACCAGGAAGGTAAATAAGATATATACGAATATAAACTTATTATCAGATATAGTCTCACTATCATGATGGTCCGACGACTATTTTTGAATAATTTCAATGTACAGAAATAGACGCATGACAAGGTCAAAAAAAAGAAGAATATATCTTGTCTGAGAGTCACTGGGGCCCTAAATTGAAAATAATGAGTGCTTGTCATACTTTATGGAGCAGCGTGCGTATAAGATACACAAAGTATCTTTTGCCGCAGTCGGACCGCACGATCTCGCCGGTGAGCACTCGGATAGAACTGTCGAGTCATCCTATAAACAGCATTCTCACTCTGTTTTACTCTGGCACAATAACACAATGTAGCGAACTTCCAACTTTGGAGCCAACCGTTTCCCCGATCTGTTTTGTGCAAAATGCACATTGTACAAGAGTAGGGAATAGTATTTTTCAAGAACGTATTTGACGGTTATAATGCTAATGTATTATACCGAAATGTTCCTCCCTATTCAGACACAATGTTTTAATCGGAAACATATATGTTACCGATTAAAACAAAAAGTTGTGTCTGAATAGGGACATCGTTAACTTTTAAATTTCACTGAGAGAAAATGCTACTGAGTGAATGATACATTTGTTTGTGGTAATAAACGGCATTTTCAATATTGATCGAATACAAATACTGCTGGTTTGATAACATGTGCTATTGATTAAAGTATATACTTTAGATTTATATTCATCTTGTATTATATATATATTTACAGAACCCAACACGTGCGGTACAGCACCGAAACTTTCCTAAAAAATTATTAAAGAGTTACTTGCAAACTTCGGAGTATTTATACTTGTAAAATTTAGTGACAATTGTGTTAAGATTTAAATGTCCCGCACTTCAATAAATGTTTAGCGTGAAATGCATTTCGTACACATAATTAAATGTGTTATAAATTTAACAGCATGTAGTAGTGATTTGATTTTAATTTTATTTTAAAGCAAGAATAGTACATGCTATCAATTTTAAAGTACATAAACAAATTTTGGATGATGCTATAGCATCATTATCATGCTATAGCATCATCAATTATATACCTATTGTTGATGCTCTTCTTAAAAAAATTCTGTATTAGGTTATAAACATATTTTTGCTCTTTAGTAGGATGATGCTATACCATCATCAAATTATTGTTGAATATAATTTGTAGTAGTAAATCTGAAAAAAAACGCTGTTTAAGGAAATATAGTAAACATATTTTTGATCCTTATACATAGTACCTATAATAGTTCAAGATACACAATAATTTGAGATAGAAATTCACAACTTGATCTAAACTCACAATTTATCGGAATATAAACTTAACACACTATTTCAGGGTTGCCACAGATCAGGGAAGTCAGGGAATTCATAGGAAAAAGTCAAGGAAATTAAAATTTGTCAGGTAAATCAGGGAAAAGTCAAGGATTTTTATTAAAATTACTGGAAAAAATTATATTTTTAGAATTTACAAAAAAATTCTGAATTTTAAACTATAAAATCGTCAAGAATTCTAATACAAAACCTACAATTTTTTCTATTTCTGACAATAATTTATTTTTAAATAACTTAATTCTTCAAGAACTTATCATAAAAAATTATTTTTAAGAAATTATTTCAATTATTTTTAATATCTACTATTTTAATAACATTTTTCAAAAGAATTCAATTATTTAATCAAAATTTTAATAAAATGCTTTATAAATTTCAAAAATTAGAATAAAATTGAGAATATAATATATAATCTCGAAAAAATTCCAATATATTCAGAGAATTGCAGAAAAATAGGTCTGACAAATTCAATTATTTAGAAAAATTTGAATAAAATTTTCTTAAAAATTCTATTATTTAAAAAAATTTTTACAAAATTCTTTACAATATTTAATTAATAAAAATTTCAATAAAATTCTTCTTAAAAATTAAATTATTTTCACAAATAATACATTTCTCATAGGAATTGAATTATTTTTAAAAAATTGAATAAAATTCTTCGCAAGAAATCAATTATTTTCATAAATAATAAAATTTTTCTCGAGAATTCAATTGCTTTTAAAAAAAATTTAATAAAATTTTTCGTCAGATTTAAATTATTTTCAATTTTTTAATAAAATTTCTCTATAAAACTTAATTTTTTTAAAAAAGTTTTGAAAAATTCTGAGAAATTCAATTATTATTTAAAAAGATTTGAATAAAATTTGTAACAAGAAATTAATTAATTTCATAAATAATATATTTTTCTCCAGAATTCAATTATTTTCACAAATAAAATTCTTCACAGGAATTCAATTCTTTAAAAAAATTTTTAATGAAATTTATTGCAAGAATTCAATTATTTTCCTAAGCAGTAAATTTTTCGAAGCAATTCAATTATTTAAGAAATTTTAATAAAATTCTTCCCAAAAATTCAATTTTTTTCAAAAATAAACATTTTCAATTTTTTAGGAATTCAATTATTTGAAAAAGAATTTAATAAAATACTTCTAAAATTCTTAAATTATTTTCAATTTTTTGATGAAATTTCGAGATAGAATCTAATTTTTTTGAAAAAGTTTTAAAAAATTCGGAGAAATTCAATTATTATTTAAAGAAATTTAAATAAAATTCTTCACAAGAAATTAATTATGTTTATAAATAATAATATTTTTCTACAGAATTCAATTATTTTCACAAATAAAATTCTTCACAGGAAATCAATTCTTTTTCAAAAATTTTTTAATGAAAGTCGTTGCAAGAATTCAATTATTTTCATAAATAATAAAAGCTTATCGCAAAATTTCAATTATTTTTATATAATTTTAAATAGAATGCTAGAAAATTGCATTTATTCTTTAAATTTTTTTTTAATTTGCCGAAAGAATTCAAGTATTTTTAAAAATTTTGATAAAATTCTTCATAAAAATTCAATTTTAAGAAATATTCAATTATTTAATAAATTATTTATTTTTGTATTAAAATAATTGAATTCTCGAAAAATTTTCTAATAAAAATTGATTAAATAATGAATTTTACTTAAAATTTAAAATTATAATTTGATTATTAAAAGCAATAGCGTGAATTTTTAGAAATAATTGAATTTTAAAAAGGGTTCAAAATTAAAATCTTTGAAAATTTGAATTTATAGTTACAATATTCTTATGATATAAAATAATGATTTTATTACTCTGCCACCTTAAATTTATCATAAAACACAAAGAAAGCGGTGGGTTTCTTCGTGTTTTATAATAATATTCTCATATAATACATCAAAGTGCGATGTTGACTTGAAGTTCCTTATATACAAAAAAGATTAAATTAACACCGCTTGTGAGAGAAAAAATTAATTTTTCAAGGTTTGGTGCATATTCAGTGGCAGAAAATATTTAATAACTTAAGTACATTATTTTATAAATCTTCTTTAATCTTTATTTTTATTATTGTTTAAAAAAAAATAAAAACTAACGTTTTTCGTATTTGTTTTATTTCTGTTTTTTTATGTGCGAGTTTTTTGCTCTAATAAAATATATAAGTGTAAGAAAATAAAGAGTGCAGAAAATTCATTTTCATTCTCAGAACGAAATTCCGCACATCAAAATCATTAATAAATGTTTGATCCATATAAAAATATATGACAAAACGAAATAAAAGCAATTTTTTTCGAAATTAAAACTAGTAAATATAAATTAAAGTCAAAAGTGTAAATAATATATATATAAGAGAAAAAAAAATGTCAAAGACACCCGACAATATTCTTGTAATGCAGTTACACACTTGACGTTTCATTAAATTTTTCTACGTATTTCACTCAACTCTCATCATATATATACACGTACGACATCTGGTAGAAACGTTTTATTCTAGTTGCTGGTTAATTGATTTCCTTGGCTCTTCGAGGGTCTTTTTAGGAAATCGAAATAAAACTTTTGCTCATATGAGTCGATTTTTTCTCCTCAAAGAAAAAAGTAATTTATAACTATTATACACGGCTCTGCCTCTCCCTGTATATATATAGAGAGAGAGAGAGGAAATCAGCATCAATTTTATACTCTATTGTGTATAGAGCAGAGGAGACCCTGATCTTTCTGATGTATTATACCCCTGACTCTAAATAACATGAAACTATTTGCAAAGCTTGATCTCTTGATTTAACCGCGCGGCTTACAATCGCCTGCTCCTGTTTATGCATTCGTTTTGTTTATTTTGCGGAATCATTCATAACATGATTTTCCATATGCACTTGTTGTTATATGGCTATAATCCGATTTATTGATGAATTGTAGTGTAATCAGTTTTTTTGTGATTTGATTTATTAGGTGTATTAGGCGTAATTTTACGTTGTGAAAATCATTGCGCATTTTGTGGTTCACTTTATAGATTCGTTTATACAATTTGATACTGTCAATAATTTTTTTTCTCAGATAATGGTACCGATTGGTTTATTTTTATGCGCATTTCAAGTACCAGCTTGCAATAAAATATACTAAAAAACTCTGGATTAAATTACATTTTAATACATATAAGTTTGTGGTATACAATTTGGTTCAATTTGATACAGTTTGGTATCAATTTAGATTAAATTAACATCAATTCGATTCAATTTGGTTTTTGGTATCAATTTGATTCGGGTTGGTAACAATTTGCTTTAATTTTCAACAAATTTGATAGATTTTGGTATAAGTTTAATTTAATTTGGTTACAATTTAATTCAATTTGATTTCAATTTGATTCAAGTTTGTGCCGAATAAATTCGATT